ATTCTTTTTTTGCTTGATTCTTTGAGGGCTCGCTTGGCTTCGTCGATTGTTGGATAAATTTGAAGAATAACGTCTTTGCCTGCTATGAATTGGGATGTTTTATGCCATTCGTAGTAGATTCCCTTCATTGGTCCGTGGAATATGACATAGAATTTGTGGGGATTTTTAATAACTAGGCTTTTAGGTAAACTTTCTGGAAGGATTATATTCGGTGTTTTGGGTTTTGTTTTTTGGATTACTGATTCAATTGAATTTACTTCGTCTTGGAGCTTCTTTAGATTTTCCTTATTCTGCTTGAGTTGATTCTCCAAATTTTTATTGTTGCCTCCATGGTTTCCTGAAACTCGAATGATTTGTTTGCCTTATCGCTGATTGTTTTATATGATAAAATCTCTATATCAAGAGTATTTATCAAATGGTAATTGATAAATTTATCATTGATAGCTAATTATTAATTATAGTTTATCAGTTCTTATATTGATAAATATAATTGTTTATTTTGGGTTTTCATTTCTAAATTTCTTTGTTAGTGAATCAACAACTGTATTTAATTCTCCGTTTTTATATACTCGTACATATGATAATTATGATATTTGCATATGTCATCTTATCAGTCTTCCTTGATTATAGTTTTCCTTTATGTTATAGTTTTGAAATCCGGTCAAGTATTTTGAACCAGTTTTTAGATAAAATATGATTGGTCTTAAATCAGTCTGCCATTTTTGAAATATATTTATACGTGCTAGCGTTTCCAGTTCATGTATGGGGTATTTATGTTGAGTACTAGTGAAAGTACCACCATTATATTTTACTAGCTTTTCTTGTTTTAGCGATGCTTTTTGAGTTATTAATTCTTTTATTCTTTCAATTGTTTCTGATGTTTTGCCACATAAAGTGGCTCTCCAATGTGTTATGTATGCTTCAGTAGAGACGATCAGTATATCGTCATCACTTGGAATTTATAATTCAGGTAATTTACTACACATCTTGTTTAGTTTTAAAACAACCTTGCTATCTTCTTCGGTCAATTTTTAAGGAATTTTATCAGATATTTTTTGTTTTAAAGCTTTTATTCGTTTTGCAAGATTTTTAAAAAATCTTTGATCAGTTAAATAATTTAAGTTTCCAAGAAAACGTTGTTTTGCTTCCTAAGAATTATTTTTTTGTTAGTATTTGAGCCTTCTTTTGGATTAGTACTAAATTGTTTTTTCTTTACATCTTTCAAATATTTTATATACTTTTTCGAGATGATCCTTTTCATAATATTTTTAAATATTATTACATCATCTATATATATTGAGCTGAATTCTTCGTATCCGGTTAAATTGTTATCCATAAACTATTGAAATATTCATGGGACTTGTTTTAGCCCAAACGGTAATTCCTTCCACTCAAAATGTTTTTGAGGTGTGGTTTAGTATTCTCATGGAGCCAGATTTGCTAATATCCGGACTTTGCATCAAGTGCTAAGAAATACTTAGCTCCTCTTAATTTTTAATTAGATATTTTTTTCTAGGTAGATTTAGGGTATTACCTATTGTTGCTTCATTTATTTTTTGGTAGTCTATCACCATTCTTCCTTTACCTCTTTTATGTTCTTTATGATTATTAACGTAGAAAATATGTGAAGAATGTTGACTAAAACTTTCTTTGATTAATCTTTTTTTTTAATAATATTTTAGTTTCTTCTTGAAACTCTTTTACATCTTTTTCGGTATAAGTCCTTTTTATAAATAACTGTTATTTATTTGTTAGGGTCTTTTAATTTAATTTCTATTAGTATATTGTTAGTTTTTTTAAGGGTTTTTAGTAATAAAACCCCTCAACTAAAGATGGATCGTAAAAAAAACCCTCAACTAAAGATTTAGTGAAATAAACCCTCAACTTCAGTTCCGTTAATGTTTGTCACCCTCCGTCACGGAATTTTAGACGGAGGGTGACATATGTTAACAGAACTAAAGTTGAGGGTTTATTTCACTAAATCTTTAGTTGAGGGTTTTTGTTACGATCTATGTTTAGTTGAGGGGTTTTATTACTAAATATGGTTAAATATTTTAAAATCTTTGTTATCATTTATTTACTATTTAAGAATCTTACCATTGATTTATAAACAATGAAAATAATTTATAATTTTTTATATATTACTTTATGAAAATTTAACCTATTTATAAAGCTTAGTAAATATTTTAATATTTTTATAAACTATTAATAAGGTTTAACGATGATTTTATAAGCTTTTGTCTGCTATTTCTTAGGATGGAATAATACATAATTTTTTCTTGATATTACGAAGTAAAGCGATAAAGCTTTATAAAGGAGGAAACACATACAGTTTTCTTATATTAATATTGTCAAATATCAAATAATTAAGATTTCTAAGTTATATAAAGTTGTAGGTAGTGTTGAGGATATTTAATTAGTTTAGAAATTCAACATTGTTACTTAAAATATGGCAAGGGCTTTTTCTTCTCTTTAAACAATTTCAGTTTGATTCGTACTTTTTTCTCTTTCAGAAGAAATAATGTAGGATTATTTTTCTTCTTTTTAATTTTTGAACCAGTATGTTATATTCCTACCATATTAATCAATAAGATTTTCTTGTTTTATTTATTTACTTCATGTTTTTGTAGTATGACGAATAATTACATCGTTAATCTTATAAAATCATCATTAAACTTTAATAGTAATTTATAAAAATTATTAAATGAGAAAACTTTATAAATAGGTTATAAAATTGATAAAATAATATATAAAAAATATAAATTATTTTTAATGTTTATAAATCAATTTTAAGATTCTCAAATAATGAATAAATGATAATAAATATTTTAAAATATTTAATCGCATTTAGTAATAAAACCCTCAACTAAAGATGGATCGTAACAAAAACCCTCAACTAAAGATTTAGTGAAATAAACCCACAACTTTAGTTCTGTTAACATATGCCACCCTCCGTCTAAAACTCTGTGACGGAGGGTGACAAACATTAACGGAACTAAAGTTGAGGGTTTATTTCACTAAATCTTTAGTTAAGGGTTTTTTTTACGATCCATCTTTAGTTGAGGGGTTTTATTACTAAAAACCCATTTTTTATCAATAAGTTCTTGTTTACTTGTTCCTTCTCCTTCTACAGGGTTTATGAAAGGAACAGATGGTTCCTTCTCTGATGAAGAAGAGTGATAAATTATTATTTCATTTTGTTAAGTTGTTGAGGGTTGTCAATTAGAATAATATTTTAAAGTGTTTCTCTTTCTTCTCCCCCCCCCCCCCCCGTCCCTCGTTTTTCTATTGGATGTTTGCTTTCTCATCGGCTGTCTACCTAATTAACCGTCTTCTCACACCAACTCTCCCAATGTGATCTATGTTTCTGATATTGTTTGGAGTAGCACCGAACTATGAGAAGCTGAGGATGTTTGGGTACTTATGTTTCCCTTGGTTAAGACCATACAATTCTCATAAGCTTCAAGACAAAATCGCAGCATTGTGTCTTCCTAGGATATTCTCCTATTCAGAGTGCCTACTTCTGCCTTAACCCTGCTAGAAACCGTATTTATACGTCAAGACATGTTCATTTTGTCGAGACAGGGTTCCCTTTTAAGATAAGACCCATTGAAACTGATCAACAACACCCGAGTCTATCCACTACTACCCAAACCTCTCCAGCTACAACAATACCAGTCTTGCCACAGCCACCTATGGGACCCGTGTCTGAGAACCTTCACCACACTGCTCCTACTTCGCCTCACTCTCAGGTATTACCTTCTAACTCTCAAACTACTTCATCCTCTTCTCCTCAGAGCCCACTGCTCTTTCTCAAAATGAATCACAACCCATGAGTAGGCTACTCAGAAACATTCAGCCCCGTTATCAAGTCTACAACCATTCGGCTTGTTATTGAAATTGCAGTATCAAACTCATGGCCTCTGAAACAGTTAGACATATACAATACCTTCCTCCAATGTGATCTCACTGAAGTGGTTTACATGATGCAGCCACCTGGTTTTATTGGCAAGGATCGCCCAACCATATTTGTTACCTAAGGAAACCAATCTATGGCCTCAAACAAGCACCACGCTCCTGGTATCTCTCACCCAAACATCTTCTCACGATAGGCTTCATCAACTCATCTGCTGATGCGTCTCTCTTCGTGCACACTCTTCGCAACATGGTCACATATGTTCTTGTACATGTCGATGATATACTGGTAACTGGCAGTGACTCTACAATTCTTCAAAAAGTTCTGCAATCTTTTGCAGAAAGATTCTCTATCAAAGACCCCGTTGATCTCCACTACTTCTTGGGTATTGAAGCGATCAGGACACCTCATGGACTTCATCTCATGCAAAGGAAATACGTCAATGACCTACTCAGTAAGCAGAACATGTTAGACGCAAAGCCAGTCTCCACTCCATTGCCTACTTCTCCAACACTGACATTCGCTGATAGGACTCTTCTTGATGATACTGCTCCTTATAGATCACTTGTTGGCAGTCTCCACTATTTAGCTTTCACCAGACCCGACATCTCCTATGCTGTAACTCGGTCATCAACAGAAGCAGAATATCGAGCAGTAGTAAACACTGCTTCAGAGGTAACATGGTTTTGTTCCTTACTTTCGGATTTACACATTGATCTCACCACACCACCGGTTATATACTGTGATAATGTTGGAACTACATATCTATGTGTCAACCCGGTGTTTCACTCACGTATGAAACATATTGTTCTTGACTATCACTTCACACGGAACATGATACAAGCTGGACAGTTGCGAGTTGCACATGTTTCTACTAGGGATCAACTCACCTATGCATTCACGCAACCACTCCCGAGGAACCATTTTCATCAAGCTTGCAGCAAGACTGGAGTGACCACAGCGGCTCCATCTTGAGGGGGTGTATTGTATATATATGTAAATATAGATAGTTAACTATTGTTTAAATTAGTCTAGTCCTAAACCCTACTGGCCTACTTTCTATGTGTATAACTATCGTTCAAAGGCTCTAATAATATTATCACTTTCCATAATCTTTACATCATTGCTAGGAACCCGGAACTTGTAGTCAAGAATACATAGAAAGGAAGAGTTACATCTCTTGCAACATCATCCATGGGGAGACAGAAAAAATCAGAAACTATTCCCTTAACCTTAACTCCATCCATTGCAGGAGAGGATAAGATACTCAAAACTATGTTTCTCACCAGAGGGATGTTTCTTACTAAAGTCGTATACGAAGGCTTCTGCAAACTCAGTACTACCAAGTGTTGGTCTATCTTCTAACTCAGGGACATCAATGAATCTAACAAAGGGCAGAGACGAGCAGATTGAGTTAACATAGGTATTGAGATGAGACTGACCTTGGAGCTTCATCACAATGACTGTGATACAGATCCGATCATCCTGGTCAATGAGACGCCTCGCAAGTTCAAGAAACGGAACGAGATGACCAACGGTTGGTGTTGGGATGAAGATGAGCTCTGTGTTTCTCATCACTGACAAGAGATCAGCTTTTGTTCTTTCCTCTCCTCAGGCTATTTTTTTCTTGTAAGGACAAAGAAGATCAATCTAGTTTAGCTTCCTTCATCTCGACTTTGTGACGCGAGATGATTACTGCTCCTAGTCCTAGCTACTGTTGAGGTGGTGGCTCTTGGATGTTTCAAAAGAGTAGATAACTTGCACATGTTAAAATAATGGAGGACATCAGAGAGGGATCCACAACCACATACAACCAAGCTACTTTCTCACGTCTCTTTCTTGATTCTGATAAACTAACCACACACACAGGTATGTGGTTTTGAAACCAGATTGGAGAATAAGAGAAAGCTTCTTCTTGTTCTAGGAGCGTTTATCTTACTAATCTATCTCATTGGAGGAGTTTCAGCTATCGCAGGGACCAAATCCTTCTACTTTTGAGTCAACAAAAAACAATATACATCAAAATCACATAGTCTACAAACTTGTTGCCAACAATCAAGAAAGATCAATCATTAACAAAAGAGACAATCCGATTATTGAACTTGAGTAGCATACATACATCACACAAGAGTGGAAAACCCAGCGAGATTCAAGACAAAATCAAAACATTTGCATATAAGACGAAAAATAGAAAATCAAGGCTTGTGATCGTAATCGAGGACTTCAGAATCAGTAACCGATCTCGAGTGCTGCACGATGGACCTTCCAATAGAGTTGATCCACTCTTCTTTCTCCTTATCATTATCCGCCAAAAAGAACAAGGTGTAGCTCCCGCTAGAGATCTCGAAGGCGAAAGGTTTGTTCACCACGTCCTCAGCTCCTTTGACGGTTAGACAATCCCCCACGGAGATCACGCCGCGCGGCGTAGATCCGCGTGTTTCGGCGGAGGCTTGGTCCTTGAACCAGAGGAGCTTCCCTCGTTTGAGCACGAACCAGCGTCTGCGCCAGGTTTTTATGTAATCGCCTTGCTTCGTTAGCCATCCGGATCGCTCGGGGTTGGACCAGAACTCGATCCCTTCGTAATCTCCTCGGTTCGGATCCTGACCCGTCGCGATTCGCCATAGATTCTCCATCCTTCCTTAAATCTCTCTCTCTCTCTCTCTCTCTCTCTCAACTGCCTTGATCGCGTTTTAATTGATTTCCCTGTAAACGCAGCGTTTTGGTCACTCTTTCAAAAAGTCGGTCGCGATCATTCTACGTATTTATCGGGACACGCAATAACTGTTAGACATTTTTGTTATTAATCGCTGCTTATTAATATTACTAGCCAATTGTTTTTTTTTTGGTTTATTTGCTACCTAAAAGAATTGATAATTAGATTTGTAGAAAGAAATTAGAGAGAGATAAGAAAAAAAAAGTAGGACATAGTGAGTGGTTTTGTGATTTTTTTTGTTTGATAATATGGACAAATTTAATTTCCCTTATAAGTAACATGTAACAAATAAATTTAAAAGTACACTTTGTTTATGTTCATTTACATAACAGAAGAAAATAACTTATGTGAGCACTGAATTTTTTACTCTTTGTACTCTGTAAGAAAAGAATGAAGAAACACATCCTCAATAACTTCATCATAGAAGACAGTTGCGGAAGAATCGAATTTCCTGTTATGCAATAGAACAAAAAGCGAAGTTAAGAAACTTTAATTCGTGTGAAGAAAAAGTTTGGAATAATTTTGAAAGAAGACAAAAGGTGTGTATGTTTACCTTAAGGGCAAATGTGATGTCTGCTTCATCTACTCTTAGGCTCACTCTCTTTAGCTTCTCGTCCCGACCTTGACTCAGTTTCAAAATCCCCTGTGCCAATCAAAAATGACATTCAGATTATCTTTAATATATAATTATAAACCCAGCACAACAAGAGAGTTATTTTAACTCATATAATCTTCTACAAGTTGATGAGTATTCTTTGCAAGAGTTAGTACCTGGTCGTTTAGCACTGTACACATGTTAGTGAACTCTGTTATTCCAGCAGGAGTGATCATCGAAGATTTACATATCTCCAAGTATAACTTATTTAACTGCAGCCACGTGTGTCAAAACAGAGACGCAAAACATTATGCAGTGTCTTTAAAACTTTAGTTATGTGTTTTTTTTGTATGGTTCATTCAATAATATCATTACCTCTGCGACGGTTCTGTCCTTTTTGCTTCCTCTAAAGGCCTTTGCAGCAGAACAGACTATGATCTGCAAGTTTTCAATACAAGCAATGTGATCACAGTCCACTACTTACTTTCAGAAGCAGCATGCGTATGCAAAGCATGTTGTAAGCATATTAAGACTATAGAACGACAAGTACCATATGTCAATAAAACCATGGTGATGTAACTTACTTGCTGGTGTTGAGGAAGAGACTGAATGGTGTCAACTACTGGAGATTTAAAGGTCTTGGCCAATGCAGTTACCATATGATCCAGTTTGACCTGTAGAGTTATCGTTGATAACAATTATGATTTAAGACTATGAATCCTTCATATTTACATCGCTAGTAGAGCAAAGCAGGAGTGAAAATACTAACCACTTGATCCTCTGTAACTGAAGTTTGTGGCTCGTGATCTGTTGATCCTCTAACTTCTGTTTCTATGATTTCTAAGGCACTCCTGAATATCCAATCAATATGAAAACAAAATTTGGGATTGTCAACTTCAGTGTGATAATTTCAAGAATAGACAAATACAATATATAAAGGATAGTAATCTCATTCATCTTATGCAACTTCAGAGACAGAACTTTCAAAAGTATATTCACCTGCAGACAGCTAGAGCCTTTCTCATGTCTCCTGATGCAGCTGATACTTTCTGGCAACAGGCAAATATATAGAACATCAATATCAAATGTCAAAAAGAAAAAGGAAAAAGATGGTTGACTCGACAGTGAGTGAAAATGGCAATATATATTCTTACTCTGGCACAAAGCTCCAAGGCTTTTGATTGGAATGCAATATATGGAAGTTCCTGTTATAACAAATTTAAAGAAAAAGAATTTATGATCAGAGTCAATTAAGTATGAATTGGGGTATCATCCTAGTTCTTTGGTTCTTAAATTGGTCAAAACTTGTTATTTACATAGTTCTGAATCAGCTATTCATTTTTTTTCCTGATAGTTTCATGAATACCAACTGCTTTGATTCGAAACTATTCTCTGCGACATTGGTAAGAGATTCATCCTCATCACCTAAATCGTATTTTCACTAGATTTACTAGTCATTTAATAAGGATTTTTCTCTCTCTATCTCCAACAGCATCCTATAGCACAAGTTAGAGGTAGACTTACCACAAGCCTCTCCTGAAGTATCCTTAGGATCTGCTGCATAGAATAGGCACGGAAAGTGACAACCAAAGGTCTGCCTGCGGTAATTAAGAAGATAAATAAGTTGAAGGAGTAAACTCAACTGTTGCTATTTATCATAGCTAAGGGAAATATTGTGAACAGCAAAGAATGTTCCAATTGTGAACAATGATGAAGAAAGACTTACAATTAAGAGACTTCAATTTTGGAAGGAAACGATCTGCAAGGTCTATTGCATTGGCTACACCTGGAGAACGAATACAACAACTAAACTTACAGTTTTGTATAACCAAAGGAAAAGTGGGGCAGATATCAACTTTAAAGTTTAAGCATGATCGCAAAGAACGGTACCTATAAGTATACATCTTGAAAATGGCAAAGTTGTGAGCATAAAAAGCTCGTGAAGGACACCTCGATCTCTTGTGATCAAATAATCCATCTCATCTGCAATTATTAGCCTGCAAATGAATTTTAAGTGAGAAAGAGCGTTTAAATCTTTTGGCAGGTTTTAACAAATAAAAAAAAAATGTTACAAGTAGCCGAATCACAGCAACCACAAGAATGAAAAAGAACTTACATCATCTTTGAGTTGGATGATTGTTGCTTTTGAGAAAACAAAGCCTGAAGTTGTTGTAGAGGTGAAGAGGAGCCATTTGCTTTCTTCCCTGTCTCGCTTTCACCAAGTATCTGAAACCAAAACAACCCAATAAACAACTATAAAGAAAAGAAACCAAGAACTTAGAGGTATTTCAATTCCATAAGGTCTTTACCTTGGAAAATATATCTGTTGTTTTGGTCAATGACGTGCAGTTAACAGACACTGTTTCCAGACAAGGCAAGCCTTCCTGAAAGAACTCATAAATAAACATCAGTCTTTTCTATTCATAGATTCACAATAATCACAAGTTCATAAGATAAAGACCCAAGATTGACCCACCTGTTTCGCCCAGTCTTGAGCTTGTTGTCTTACTTTCTCCATAGACAATGACTTTCCAGTTCCAGGACAGCCACAAATATACAAACTCCCAGCCTTCTTCTGTTCCATGCAACCTTTCACAAACTCCAAAACACGTCTCTGCTCATCCTCACGGCAAACAATAGTTGATGGGGCCTTGGAAACGTGCAATACCTCCTTCACAGCTTTCATTTGATCATCATCTGTACATTAGAAATAAACCAATCATACACTGAGAGCATTAGAATCAAGAGGACATCTAAGAATCATTTATACCTCTGGGATTCCACTTTGATTTAACATCTAGAAAATCAAATTGCTTCTCCAGTACCCTATTAGATTCTTCCTTCACCTCCTGCAAACGCATAATCAGTAAGAAACCAAATTAATAATTCCGAAAAATCGATCTAATGTTGATGATAAATCCAATAAGAACATCAATTAGATTTGACCAAAAATTTTTTTTTTTTTTTTTTTTTTTTTTGAACATCAATTAGATTGATCCCATTCATAAATAAACAAATCTTAATCGCTAGAATTACCTCAATAGGCGTCCCAGGGCTTGAAACAACACATCGTCGAGGAGATATCCGTTTAATCGGCGTAGAGACTGCCGTTGCTGCAACCTCCGTGGCGGAATCAGATCTCAACTTCCGCTTTCGAGGAGCGATGATATGCTTGTGAGGTGATGAACTTGGTCCAGCGATAGTAGGCATATCGTAAGTTAGCAGGAGATGGAGATTGAATTGGACCGAAGTGAAGAATCGATCTCATGGTCGATACCGCTTTATGAAGAGATTCGAAAGAGGGAAAATGTGTGGAAAAAAAAAGATAGGAAAAAAAAAATCAGTAGCGGGAAAACGTTTTCGCCGCCCGATTTATTCGGCTGCCGTTTTTAACATTCAGTTTCGCGGCAATTTTGCTGGGCCATTTTACGTTTTAATAACTCGTGGACTAAACTAAGCCCATTAAGGGCTCATCTAAAGTTTTATTTTTTTCTCTTCATTCTACGTTGATAGAAGAATCACAACTTGTAGACTCTAGTTGTAGAATTGAAGATAGAAATCGATGTGTCATTGCACTTATATTGATTTATTTCCACATATATTAACGTTCAGGTATGAGAGAGATATCTACATAAAACGACGTGGAGATATTTTTTGCATTTTTCTGGTTCCTTAAACAACTAATAGAAAAATGATACCCACATAAACTGATGATATATCTTATGGTATGTAGACCAAAATAAAAAAAATCATATGTAACAGATTCATATAAATTGAATATGAAGGCAGATTTTTTTGATAAATACTAGTTAGAAAGAAGATAAGAGATCTGATAAGAGTGGTGGCCTTTGTGTAATGTCTCACTCCATCTGATTCTCAAATTGTCTATCACATCTTATCATGAACCACCACCTAAGCCTGCATATTTTTAACACGCACGTTTGGCTCTATATTGTTGGGTCAAGTAAATAAGATTTGCATATTAATAAATAAAATTTTGGATTTGATTAATTTACATACTTTTGTTATTGAAAGTTTTGCGCTTTGCTAGTTTCTTTTTCTGATTGAAAACAAAGTAGTCTTAATGTTTTTAATTTTATGAGTAATCTTTTCTCCTATATCGCAACTCAAATTCAAGATTTTGAATTTTTTAGTAATGAGAATCACAAAGTTTTTGAACCAGTGATTGTGTATATATACTTGCACAATGGTAGTATTCAGTAGATTATCATGACACCCTTAAATATTTATAAACTTTTAATGTATGTAAAACTATAATAAAATATCATCATTTCGGTAAATTTGTTTAATGAACTCTAAACCAAGATTCTCACCATGGCCTATAATAGCGTTTTCATGTTGATCAATATTAAAATGATTTCTAGGTCTGCTATTGCCCACATTACTATCTCTACCCTCGAATTGTTGTGTGATTAATTGTTACGAGTGATTTATTTTACTGTCAACAAGATCAAGATGTCAGCACCCCAATGAGAAATTCTAGCTCTAGAATTCTCCCAAAAAAAAAATATATATATATATATATATATATTAGTATTAATATTTAATTGTAAGGTTTATAATTGAAGAACAACAAGATCTGAAGATGAAAATATAACTTGTATCTTATTCAACTTGAGAACATTTACAACGGCTGTGTTTCTTTATATACAGAGACACTAAAGCTACTACTTGACCTAATGCTCACATTAGCACACACAAGCATTTAGGCAACCAAAACTGTTAAAGGTAGAAACAGACAGAGATGCTTTGATATCGTGAGNGCATTTAGGCAACCAAAACTGTTAAAGGTAGAAACAGACAGAGATGCTTTGATATCGTGAGCTGTCTTCTCCGTACGAGGATCATAACATGAACGTGTTCTCTGTCTTTTTCCAGAGCTTCCCTCTCCTCTGTCTCCTCTGTTAACGGTTAACATATTAACCGAAATGGGCTTAATGGGCTTAACATCTTTCTGCATATATGTACGCGGCCCAGACACACATTTGAAACCTTCTGCACCATCAAGAGTCTTTGACTCACAACCTTCTGCACCAGAAAGAGCCTTTGGCTCACTTGGTCTAATACTCCCCCTCAAACTTGGAGTAGGGGATTCAGCAACTCCAAGTTTGCATCTCAGACGAGCAAACGGATCATAACTCAAAGACTTGGTGAACACATCCGCGAGTTGTAACGATGCAGGAATGTGTCTAACCTCCAAAGCTTTCATAGCAACACGTTCTCTCACATAATGATAGTCAATGTCGAAGTGCTTAGTCCTTTTATGAAACATTGGATTTGCCGTAAGACACACTGCAGATAGGTTGTCACAGAGTAACAAAGGAGTACGCTGTTGAGTAAGTCCCATGATACGAAGCAAATTTTGCAGCCACACAATCTCAGAAGTAGCCATAGACATTGTTCTATACTCTGCCTCAGTTGAGGATTTGGACACAGTATCATGACGACGAGCACACCAAGAAATGACATTCGAACCCAACAAGGTACAGAAACCACCAGTAGATCTTCTTGTTTCTTTACAACCGGCCCAGTCACTATCACTGTAACAGACAAGAGTGGAGTCCGAACTAGAGTTGATGCTTATTCCCATGCTTATAGTACCCTTAACATACCTTAGAATGCGCTTCAACAAGTGGTAGTCAGATTGACTTGGTGAATGCATCCGTTGGCAGATGAAATTGACAGAGAATTGCAGGTCAGGGCGTGTCAAAGTGAGATATTGAAGTTTTCCTGCTAGACTTCTGAAGTAAGAGGGATCAGAGAAAAGTTCATCTTGACCAGGGACTTTATCCAGTTTAATCGGCAAAGGAGTAGACACTGGAGCACAGTCTTTCATGCCTGCAGTGACCAGAAGATCAGTGACATACTTCTCTTGATTCATGAAGAGACCCTCTGCAGTGTGATGAACTTGAATACCGAGAAAATAATGCAGTGACCCCATATCTTTCATTCGAAACTTGCTGTGCAAGTGTTGAAGAAGTGTTTCCAACAAGGCTTCATTGTTGCCTGTGAGAACCATATCATCCACATACAACAGCAAGTATATAACATCAGAACCTCTGTGATATATGAAGAGAGAAGGATCCGGGAAACTGCATTGAAAACCAAAGTCCAAGAGGAAATTACTGAATTTGTCAAACCAGGCTCGTGGAGCTTGACGTAAACCGTAGATAGCCTTCTTCAAACGCCAAACATAATCAGGATACGCCGGGTTAACAAAACCAGGAGGTTGTTTCATAAAGACCATCTCCTTCAAGTCGCCATGTAAAAACGCATTCTGCACATCAAGTTGTCGGAGAGACCACTTTTTGGTGACAGCAACATGCAACACAGTACGAATGGTGGCTGTACGAACAACAGGACTGAACGTTTCAATAAAATCAACCCCTGCTTCTTGTTCATTACCTCTAGCCACTAAACGAGCTCTAAGACCTTTCACTGAACCGTCTGCATTGTATTTTTTTTTGTAGACCCAACCACAGCCTAAGGGATTTTGATCATTAGAAGGAGGCACAAGCTCAAAAGTTTGAGTCTCCACCATATGATCTACTTCTGTACTCATCGCTTTGACCCAACCAGGGTGTTTGAGAGCCATCTTGACAGTCTTTGGCTCGGAGAATTCATCCTTGATAGTAAACAGAGCATATTTGGGATTTGGCTTGATAATCCCAGCTTTAGCTCGTGTTGTCATTGGATGGGCAGGTGGAGGCTGTGCCACAGGCGGTGGTTGTTGCACTTCGTCTTCATCAGTAGCAGAAGAAGAGTCGTCATGACTTGAGTCCTCATATTGTGAAGTAGGTGGGGAGGGTGGTGGTGAAGGAACCGGAGCATTTGGAGGTTCATTGACAGGAGTTGAAACAACTCGAGACTGATGTGGAACGATATCTTCTTCAACAGGAGAAGACTGAACTTCAGGTTCACAAGAACGGTTTAGTGCAGCTTCTTGCCAGGCTTGCAAAAGAACTGAGGAACTCTTCTTGTGATGACTGCTGTAGACATCACTAAACGGAAAAGATTGTTCATCAAACAACACATGTCTACTGATGAACACCTTTCCAGTTGGTGGATAATAACATCTGTAACCTTTATACTTCTCATTATACCCCAAGAAAACACATGACAGCGACTTTGGATCCATTTTGTTCCTCATATAGGGACGTAAGAGAGGAAAACATTTACACCCAAACACGCGTAGAGCAGTGTACAATGGTGGTCTGTGATGAAGCATCTCGTAGGGACTCTTGTTGTCAGGAAGAACAGAGGAAGGTAGTAGGTTAATCAGAAACGTGGAGGTAAAGAAAGCTTCAACCCACAAATGCTGAGGAACCTTTCCATCAAACAACATAGTGAACCCAAGCTCTGTCAGATGCCTATGTTTTCTTTCAGCTAAACCATTCTGTTGTGGCGTATGGGGGCAAGACAAAAACTGTTTGATACCTGCAGAAGCCAAATGATTCAGAAATGTGGTGCTAATGAACTCTCCACCTCCATCACATTGGAACTGCCTGATTTTACTCTGAAACTGAGTTTCAACCATTTGTTGGAATCGAATGAAAACAGAAGTAAACTCAGATTTGAGCTTCAGAGGATAAAACCAAGTAAACCTTGTGTTATTATCAATAAAAATAACATAGTACTTGAACCCTTGAGTAGAAACAACAGGACTTGGACCCCACAAATCACAATGTATTCTCTCTAAAGGACTTGAAGACACAAAATCTGAAGATAGAAAAGGAAGTTTACAACTCTTCCCAAACTGACATGAGTCACAGATCGTAGAGACACTGGACTTATTACAAACTATGGCTTTATTCCTTAAAAGCTGTTGAAGTATGTCCATGTGAGGATGGCCTAGCCTCTGATGCCAAATCCTCTCACTTGTAACCTGCTGTCTGTTGGAGTAGAAAGCATGAAACGGGGCATCCTTCAACACATAGAGATTCTTATGTCTGTGTCCTTTGGTTAGAACCTGCTTTGTCACCTTGTCCTTAACCAGTACAGAGTCATTATCAAATGTAAATTCACAGGGAAAATCTGAAGTAAGTTTTGACACAGACAAAAGTGATTTTGTTATAGCAGGACAAACAAGTACATCTTGAAGAGGTAAGGTACCTGTTGGTGTTTGCAGAGTCACTGAACCAACGTGAGAAATGGGAAGATAGTCTCCATTACCCACTATCACCTGATCGTTGCCGAGATACGGCTGTGAAGACTGAAGCTGAGAGCCATCATTAGTGATGTGTGCAGACGCAGCAGAGTCCGGATACCA